TTGGTTCCTTGCCCGCTCAAGATACAAGATTAACTACACTGCCAACTCAATCTAGTAATATCAGGAAATTTTCACGGTTGAGATGATACTCAGTTCCTCAACTTGTTAAGGGCGGATGGGTTATTGATCTATGCATTCTTTTGCTAAACTTTTGAGGATTCTTATCTCCTACTCTCGAATTTGCAGGTTGTCGTGAACTTAAAAAAATTTCAAGAGTTAGACCTCAGTTTTTACGTAAAGCTCCTTCATTATTTCAGACTTGAGCTCCTTGAGAGTCTAGAATCTTTCTATTTCCTTCATAATATCCAACCTCACATCTCTCGAATATATCAGCCTAAAATCTAATGAATTCGAGGGTACATTACACTTTGTTTACGTGCCAGTCATTCCAAGGAGGAGATCATAGAACTAATGAATATGGGAAAAATGGGTATTGAAATAGAAAATTTAAATTGGACCCCAAATTTCAGTTGAAGGTATTCATATCGTCCAGTCATTGATCTGTCCAACCACCACCTTCGAGGATGTTTTCCTATTTGGTTGCTTCTAGAAAATGCAGAATTAGAAGTTTTGAACAGAAGAAACACTCTTTTGTTATTAAAACAAACTTAGAATTTAAGCTGAATGATTTATTACATAATCAATCATACATATAGGAGCGCCATCCTATAAAAATAAGGAAAAGGATAATGAAAGGTAATGAAATCGTTTTACTAAAAGGAAAAATATAAATCCTAACTAGACTACGAATCCTATATGAGCTAGAATGAAGTTTCAAAATCCTGTTCTAAGATTTTTATTACAACTCTCCCCTACAAGTTACTGCATCAATACATGCCCAACTGGATCATGATGTATTGAATGACCCACTACTTGAAAATCATTGCTTTACACTGATCGAAACTCCTTGTTGTAAAAGCCGACCCCTCTCCACCAATTCCACTCATCATCTTGGTTAGATTTCCTACATCAGTTACTTGAGATAAATGAGAAGAGGACGGAGAGGCAACTACGGTAGCAACCTAGGCAGATTTCTTCTTTTTTTCAGCTTGCCTATTTTTCAACCACATCAGGTAATCTTTATAGCAAACATTAAGGGGGTGTTTGTTTTTAATTTGAGAATTGATTTTCAAATCAATTCTCATTTTCAACCACACATTTTTCAATAAAATAATATTTTCCATCACATCAATAATTTTTTCTTCTTTTTCAACCACACATTTCCCATCATATCATTATTCAAAATCAATTTTTCCCCCAAAAAATACATTAAATCAATTCTCATTTTCAACCACACATTTTTCAATAAAATAATATTTTCCATCACATCAATAATTTTTTCTTCTTTTTCAACCATACATTTCTCATCATATCACTATTCAAAATCAATTCTTCCCCCCAAAATCTCTGCCAAACAAGCTCCAACTCTGTGTAGTGTTGTGGCAGTGGGTGCAAAGCCGATAGAAGGGGCTGTAGTAGCTAGGCGTCAGTTACTATTCTGGATAGCCAAAGCTAAAGTATTAGAGACAACCTCTATATCCATAGTAACTTGCCTCCATGATTCAGGACGGACTAGTGTTTATGCCTCTTCTAGACTTGAGAGAGGATTAAATGTTAAACTTAGTGCCTGACTGGTGATCTATAACTACCCGTGCAAACTAATTTCTACATAGACAAGGAAACTACAAAAAGAAATGTATCATTGAAATCATTGTCTGAAGATCCCAGGAGTCAAGTTCTCTCATGCAGGTAATGAAGTAGATTCTCTCGTTTTCGCCATCTTGGCTTGCAACCTCTGCATGAACTTTGGATTAGCTTTAAGTCTCTCTTTGATTTTTGAAGTTCCAGCTTCTTCCACCAGTTTCCTAGCTTTACCTGCCTCCTCAATCAAAGCAAATAGAGTCCGGAGGCAGTCCTTTCTGTTCTCCTCCCGATGTTCAAACCTGGTAGAGAACATAATGTTAAAATAGAGAAAAAGGGACAGCTTGATCATGCAAGAATTGAATAGTAGCTGAAATTTCGCTAAGCTGTAATATCTTTGTTGTGTCCCAAGAAATTTTACACTAGATTCAGGAGCAATAAAAAGATAGAGAATCTAGGGTAGAGCCCATACTACTTAGTTCTCTTAAAATATATTATTATCATAAGAGGAAGTTCCCTGGACGAGAAAGAGATGCTACATAATTTCAGACAATCAAGCATTATGAAGGTCACTCGTTGATGAGAAAAGCAACACACCATCTGCCACTGAGTTACCTCTCACTAGTTATGGTAAGTTCATCTTTTCCTGGATTGTATTGCCTTCCTGCTAATTCTTTTAGCCTGCAGAATTGATGCTTTGATAAACCAAGCTCTTTAACAGTAACAGCCAATTTTACTTTTCTATTTTTCGGGTGCCACGCATCACCACCAGGAGCAAAGACCACACGTGTTTGCCACCTAAGAATTGGGCCCTCACCTGGTGGGTCATCAAGGTTGTTTTTCTTAAAGGGCACATCGGTCTCTTTAAACTGTTTAGGAGCCTCTGCCTCCATCAGCTTAGCACAATGCAATACCATTTGGTCTTCAAACACTTTAAACAATGCATAGCCTTCTTCAACTTCAAGTTCACCTTTTTCAATCTTATTTGCTATATCGTCAAACTTCTTTTCCACTTTCTTTTTGATCTTGTCTGAGAATTGTTAAATAATAAAAGTCAATTCAATCTATAAACAGAGTCTATAAAGTATTGGAAAAAATTACTACAATGTTTGAGAGTGGAAATATGTGCATGTAATGGTCCCATGATATTGTATCACTATGCAAAATCCACAAAGTTTAATGCATTAAGCTTTATCATTTCTTTTTTATTTTTCTGAACACAAGCATATTAATCTACGTTATCTAACATGTATTTAAGATGAAATTATATGAGTAATGCTCCATGAGTCATGAGCTAAATCAACTGGGAGAGGCCAATCTCTTCAGTCTGATTTGAAGGATATTAACTTCAAGATGTCTTCTCCAGACACCACTCGAACATAGTCTGAGAAAGCTAGAAAACAGTGCTGCTATGACTGAAAGTTATATCAGACGGTGCTTGTTGAATGCAGCACCTACAAATGTTGGAATCACCAGCAGATAACAATTCTGGAAGTCCTTAAGAAGATAAAAGGCTGATCCAGTTGTTAAAAGACTTGGGCAACAATTAAAATGCTGAAGAAAAGGGAAAATAAACCAACTTCTGCTAGTCGGAAGGATTAAGAAATGAAGTTTGAATCAACAGCCTAAACATGGAATAACTAAAGAGATGTGAGTCTAACTATAATGCAGAGTTGCTGCAATATGTTACTCAACAGGAACTGGCCTTTATACAAAGGTCTTATTTATATATTAATCCACTGTTTGAGCCATATTAAAATTCTCATTCTCATTCTTCTACTCATTTTAAATCATACATTTTTCAATAAAATAATATTTTTCATCACATCAATAACCTTTCCTTCTTTTTCAACCACACATTCTCCATCAATCTACTATTCCAAAATACATTCTTCCAAAATAATGTGGCTCAATCACACCCTAAGACATTAATTATATGACTTGTCATGTGCTTTTAAGGTCAAAACAATGCATATTTACTCGCTTCCAACCCAAAACCATTTACCAGCTCCATGAGGTTGGGATGTGGGCATGGAGAGATAAGCAGAAGTCAAAATAGAAAGGAAAAAAAGGAACAAAAAGTAAAATTGATAATGATGCTTTACTTGATTTTTTTTCAATTTAAGGGCACTTTCTTATCTCGTCTTTATAACTCCCCGCTTCAATGTGCAGTCAGTGGATGAGCTGGTCAAGATGCTGCATGAGTACAATGATGAAGTTGCTCTGCCTAAGCTATAATATAATGCTAATGGCTCATAAGGTTGGCATGGAAGTGCTGCTATGGTTTTTCGTCCAAGGATGACAAATTAATCTGCTATTTTATATAGGTCACAGATTTTCGCATCATTTGAACTTCCTCCAGTTGATGGACGTACACTAACTGACTTCATGCATCTAACAGGATTACAAATGTGTTCTTTAGATGGCATGGTGAGCGAATAATCTCTCTCTCTCTCTCTCTCTCTCTCTCTCTCTCTCTCTCTCACACACACACACACACACTCTCTAGCCCACCCCTACCTCCACTACAATTTTCTTCTTTATGTCGATATTAATGAAATCCCATGAACTAGGGTGAACTTGCAGAGAAACTTCCTCATTTACAGTCTCTTTGTATTCATTACATGGTTAGTCGAGCTTTTATGCACATCCTTAGAGCTGTTATTGCTACTATTGGGAGCAAAGACATGTCAATATCCCCAAGTCAAAAGTATGTAGTACTTTTTAGTTTAAAAAGGTTGTGCAGTTCCACATCATGACACATCAAAATTTAATGTGATCTTAATCAGGAGAAAAAAGATCCATCTGATCAATCCAAAAACCACCAAGAAAGATGGAAAGGTTCTACAATTTGACTTCAAAAGAGAGAGGAATATAGTTATTACCTGGTAGAAGTTTATCCCAGTTAAGCATGTCCTCTAGTATTGCCTCACACTCCCTAGTATCCTTCAGATGCCCATGTTCAACTGCCTCTGCAATCATGTCATCCCACTTCTTGTCATCCATGTTTAAGTTCGGATCACTTGCCTTTTTCTTCACCACAATATCCCTTGCATTGTACAAATCATCAATCTCTTCATCCGTTTCATGGCCCTCCTCAAAATCTGAATCAAAATCTTGGTCTTTAACATCATCTATCGGCTGCATTCGAAGCTCTTCCATCAACTCATCATCTGTGTCATCATGCTTACCAGAAATCCTCCTCTTTAGAATACTCTCAAGGATTAATGGGAGTGCATCCTCATTGGCATTCTTGAAGTAGTCCTCTATCTGCACTTTGAAATCTGCAAACAAAATATTCCAAATAAAGCTGCAAACAATTAGTTCTTGAAACCCACCAAATATCTGATATGTTCCATGGGTTAATATGAAAGAATGGCCAGTATTGCAAATTCCAGAAAATTCAGATATACACTGAAACGATTAAATCTTAATCTATAAAACATGGATGAAACAGGTAGACTAGCAGAAGTAAGTCCATGATTACTCGGTAACCGAGTCAAGTTGTTCATCAAAAGCTTCATATCCGAACAGCATATTGTGCAATCTACTTAATCTGGTTTCGTAAAATATGACCACAAAAAGTTAGTAGAGCTAAACTTTTAATTGACTGAACAATCATACATAAAACATGAATCAAATTACACCATTAACAGGTCCAATTTTCTCCAACGTTATTAATGCACGTATTCCTCCGAAATTCGTAATAAAAAATCTTATTAATAAAATTTTTTGCCTTTTCTTCATGAAAAAATGAGCTTCAAAAGCTACCCAATACAACAAAATACAGTGCAGTTTCTTTAGATCTCAAATGTGAATTAGACGAACCAGGAAATAATTACATTATTTTGGTACCGCAAAAACTCAAATAATTTTCAAATTTTGTACCTTTATTGGTTACATCTTGGACCTCGGCGGCAACTTGTTTCTTCTTTTCAGGCTCGGTGACGCTAGATTTGGATTCAGGCTTTGAGTCTTGGTTCGATTCTGCTATTTCTTTCGGGGAGTCATTTTCAGATGAAAAAGAACGGAATCTCAAAGAGAAGCAATTGACTACCGGTGCATTATTGTTACTGAAATTGGTACAATCATTGTTAAAGATTACTGTATTAGGTTTGAGATTGTGCGAGAAATGAAGATTTCGAGCATAGAGAGAGACACTTCTCAGCAGAGCCCCTCTCATAGTGATGCTGTTTTAGGGTTTTAGTTTCTGGGTACGACGATTGAGAAATCTTAAATAAATTTCCTGTTTTAAATCCGGCCAATTATAATATATTTTTGTCCAATCACACATTCTCAAATTATAATAAATTACATATAAATGTAAATTTTTTCTTCTTTTTTAACCACATATTTTTTTGTTAAAAAAAAAAAAATTCTATTTTAAAAATTATAATCTCAAATAATGAGGGTCAAACGAAAACTTAAATGAGTGACCCAATTCAAATTTTCATTTAACATCAAAGCATGAGTTGAATTTTAATAATAAAACAGAATGTCGAATGTGAAATGAAGCAGTTTGTTTGCTATAAATTAGAAATGGATGGTCCAATTGAGATTTACTTGAAAGTTCTGTGACCAAAATGAAAAAAGAAAATATTAAGGCCTGTTCTATAAGAAAATGTAATATGTGAAG